TCAGCAGGATTTTTCCAGTGTGTAAAAGCAGATTAGAGATCTTTTCCTTTGGGGGATCCAGTGAAGAGTTCCCTACTTTCTGTACTGTTTCAAGAACCCTTCTGTAGGTTTGTCACCTGCCTGGGTGTCAGATAAGTTACACAGCCATATGCTGAGAGTGTCAGTAGCTCATGATCAGCCTACATGAATTCTTGGCTTAAGCCCCTTCCTGTGGTCTGTAATGGAGCAGGTATTTAAGACCAAGTCCAAAGTACTGTCCAAGCCACTGATCCTTCCATTTATACAGATCTTCCTATGGTAAGGGACAGGGCTTTAAAAACCCAACTCACAGTGAGTCATAGTGGGGTGATGGTGAAATTCTGTGGACCATGCACTCCTGCAATGCCTGTGGAGCGTCAGAGGCCTCCAAGGGCCCCTCCCAATCTAAATTATTTCACAATTTTAAGAAAAGGGTGGATGGGTGGGAAGTACCAGTGATTGTGACCTACTCATTTAAGTAGGAAACCGAGATGTGATAATCTGCTAAGACCTCCCTTTTGCTTTCAGTTTGGCAGGGCCCTGTGTTATTCAGCACTGGCCATGAGGAACAATGCTGGACGTTTGCTGCTGGGAGCAAGAGCAAATCCATTCAACTGAGGCCTCTGAAGGTACGGAGCAGGAGCCAGAAGGTACAAATAAGGAAAAAGAGGGGAGTGGCACAGATTGAGATACCTTATGGAAGGGGAAAAAAAAAAGAACTGTGAGGTGGAGATGAGGAGATGTCCCTTCTGTCCCTTCTGACTCTGTTGGTGTTGGGTATTGGTGCCCCCTCCCTCTATTTCTCCTTTCCCCTATCAGCTAAGTGTGCATAAGTGATTTCCTGGCCACAGCTAAACCTATCTGGAGAGTGCGACAGAATTGCCCAGACAGAAACACAGCAGGAAGTAACAGAGCAAACACAATGGAGGTTTATGGAGTGGTGATTGAAATGTGCTGTTCTTTAAATGCCAGGAGAACAGATCAGGTTTAGGGCCAGAAAGGGGAGACTGAGGTTGGGGGGAAGTGTTGAAGAAAGGGAAGTTCTGTTGCTGGTTCTCCCACATGTTTAAAGCATAAATGCTACAAAGGTAGGGTGAAAGCACTTTGTGTCTCCTGGGGTACTTGGTTAATGGCAGGAGATTTAGCTCATGGCAGTTAGTACTGTCTGTGCTACAGCCCTTAACCTAAACATGGTGAGGCAATGCTTGCGTTACTGCCATTACCTACATGGGTTACAGAGTCTTGCAGTACTGAGTCAATAACGTGTTGCTGCATCAGCATGGAGGGCAGGGTGCTGAGCAAAATGCCAGCTTTAAAATGCTGTGACAAGAAAAGAGATTGTCCATGAGAAAACTAGCGCTACTGTGCTGTTGGTTACAGGTTCAAGCTGGGTTAGTGTTTAATGAAAATTGCCCCACCTTCCCTGTAGACAACGGTTCTTTCTGTACCTTTTGAGTCTCCTTCTCTGGAGATATTCAAAGCCCGCCTGGACGAAGTCCTGTGTACAATGCTCTAGGAGAGCCTGCTTTAGCAGGGGGGTTGGACTAGATGATCTCCCAAGGTCCCTTCCAACCCTTGCGATTCTGTGATTCTGTGATTTAAGTAGTAGGCATATTCCATCCAGAAATCACTGCAGAACAATGGTGGGACATAATTTTCAAGTGTTTGTTTGTTTAATCAAATATTTTCACCCTATGAAAGGCACAAGGTTGCTGCATTCTGATTCCCCAAGTAGGGCTTTTCCTGGTCTTTGTTCTGATTGTATTTTTGTAAGGACAGAAGGAAGATAGTGTAAGGTTTGTAAGAGGCAGCCATCCATGCCAGTCTCTTTTCAAGCATTTTGCCCCAGCTAGCTTGGCCTGGGTCACACAGAAGAAAAAGCTGGACCTGGGACCATGCAAACCCTGTGCTTTGGTGGAAAGCAGAGCCAAAAATGATTTTGGGATGGCTGGAATGACCTGTGGGTTGACCTGCTGGCCAAGTCCTGCCTAAGACTATGTAAGTTTCAGTGCCAGGTAGTGAGGAGACTTCTTTTGGCTACTTAATCCCCCCTGCCAGAAGGTAGGCAGGCAGGCAAGCATGCTCCTATGAGGAGAGCAATGGTAGTTGGAGATGTGGCATGTGTTGCAGATGCAGTACCGGGTATCCCTCTTTGTGCACACCCACAAGCCTCTCTCAGCACGTTGTGTAGCCTGCTCTGGCACTGCTGGATCCAGCCTTGTGCTGCATAGAATCATTTAGGTTGGAAAAGACCCATGAGATCATTGAGTCCAATTGTTAACCTCACACTACCAAGTCCACCACTGAACCATGTCCCTAAGCATCACATCTATCTGTCTTTTAAATACCTCCAGGGATGGGGACTCAACCACTTCCCTAGGCAGCCTGTTCCAAGTGCTTGACAACCCTTTCGGAGAAGAATTTTTTCCTAATATCCAATCTAAACCTCCCCTGGCACAAGTAGAGGCCGTTTTCTCTTGTCCTATAACTTGTTACTTGGCAGAAGAAACTGACCCCCACCTGGCTCCCCCCTCCTGTCAGGCAGTTGTACGGAGCGATAAGGTCTCGCCTGAGCCTCCTTTTCTCTAGGCTAAACAACCCCAGTTCCCTCAGCCGCTCCTCGTAAGACTTATGCTCAAGAACCTTCAAGATTTTTGTTGTTCTTTAGACTCGGTCCAGCACCTCATTGTCTTTCTTGTAGTCAGGGGCCCAGAACTGAGCACAGCATTTGAGGGGTGGCCTCACCAGCGCCCAGTACAAAGGGACAATCGCTTCCCTAGTCCACAACCCTCCCCTCCAAGAGACAAAATTTCAGGTTACTTGTAGACGGAGACTAATGCTGCTCTCTACCTACCAGCCCCCTAGAACTTGAAACCCCACAACCCAGCTCTGCTGCCAGGTTCCCACACTAGTGAACGTTTCCCTAAGCCTCATGAGGGCCAAGGAAGCCCAGCTCAATCTTGCCCCATAGAAGAAAGACGCAAGACAGGAGTTTCAGTGAACTACAATGCACCCCAGTGTTTATTAACTCCAGATTAGTGTGACAGGCACAACGTGGCATCCACGGGATATCTCCCCACACTCTAAGCTTGTTCCTTATGCCTCTTCAGCAGCTCCCTCAGCTGCTCGATCTGGGCAGTCACGCTGCTCTTGGCAGTACCGCCCATGGCCGTGTACTGCTCCACGCTGTTGACAACGCTGAAGACCTGGGAGACATCGCTGCCAAACAGGGGGCTGGGGAGGCAAAGAGAAGAGGTGTCAGTGGAGAACGTGGGTGCCGTTTGCTGGCCTTGCATGCTCGATGCCTGCAGAGGCGGGGGGAGTGGAGACGGAGCCTTTTTCTAAGGGCAAAGACCTCCCGCAGCCCTGCTTCTGCACTTCCAGGGCCTGGCAGTAGCTGCTTGTGGCAGACCAAAGAGTCAGCTCCAAGGGGAGAGCGAGGAAGCTTGGAGGCAAACTCTTCTGGAGGGCTGGTGCCTCCAGGTCAGGGCATGAGTTTCTTCCAGTCCCTCCCAACAGCCGCTGCCTGTGTCCCGCTGGGGCTGAAGGGTAGCGATGTTGTCCCCCCACTTCAGTTATTTCAGGCCCAGCAGCAGCAGCAGCACTGATACTCAGGCCAGGAGGATTTTGGGGAGCTGTCTGGCCCAGGCACTTTGGGGCAGGGCACCATAAGGAGGCCCATACGAAGGAAGGCTGCTAGCTGCCCCTTGAGGGAAGTCATAGCAAGGTAATAGTGATACGAACCTGATGCTCTTCAGGTCATCCAGGCGGAGATTATTGATGGTGGTGCCTTTAGACTCGGCAAGGTGGACGGCCTTCCCAGAGGCAGCGTGGGCTTGTCTGAATGGCATCTGCAGTGAGAAGCAGAGGCCACAGTCCGTGACCAGGCAACTGGGGGGCAAGGAAAAAATGGAAGTGCTGTCTTTTTTGGTTGGCTTGTTTTCACTTAGGGCAATGCAATCTGAATCCATGTTTTCTGGGGTGTGAAGAGGGGAGGCGTTAGGAGGTGAAACTCCACCTGTAAATTACTATCAAGTCCACCTTGCAGCAGTTCCACTACTTGGGATACATGTAAAGAATGGGTTTCCAGCTTTCGTGTTTGTTGACCCAGACTGATCATCACCTGGGGACAGAACAGAAGGCCTCATCTCAGGCCTTCGCTGAGCAGTATTCTGCATCCAAAGAAATCAAGGCTCCAAGTCTCTCTGATACTTACTCCTTTATGAACCAGGTAGAGAGCCAAATCGGATGACAGGATCTCAGGGCTCAAAGCCTTCTCCATGTTCTCCTTGTTGATCTGCAGAAAGGATGGTCAGAAGGAGACATTATCATCAGCTTCTCCTTGCGGACCCGTTAGCTGACATTGGGGTCTGTAACGAGTGGTATGGATGAGCCACTGAAGAGCCTTCATCTTAGGACCAGTCTAGAGCGCTTTCACGTGTGTTACTCACAGAATGTGCCCCCCAACCATGTTCAATAGGGAGAGTCTGAAGCCTTACCTGGAGGGTAGAAATCACTCCAGTGGCAACCTGGAGCACAGCATTCAGGGTGTCCACAACATCAAAGACGGCCTCCTTGTCCTCCTGCGTCAGAACAGGCATGGACATTGCTGTAAGTCCGCCTGATGCAGCCCAAAAGCCCACCAGCCTGAGCAGCCCAGCCAGCAGAGCAGGCATGTCACCCCAGGGGCTGCGGTGTCAACTGCAGCACGCTGTGCCTCAGCCCCTTCCTCAGCACCCTGCACACAAGCAGGGTCTGTACAGGGAAATGTAGCGGCCAGACTGCTCAGGAGTAGAAGACCACCACTGTGTCTGCTCAGAGAGATGGTGTGCAAACTAACATCTGGTTTACCTGTAGATCCTTGTTGTAGGTGCTTGGAAGTCCTTTGAGAACCATGAGAATAGCAGCCAACTGCAGAGAGAAACGGGTGAGGCAGTTAGCTCCAGGGAGAGAAGCACATCGCCCCAGCCCAGGCTCAGAGCCTACACTGGGCACCTTTCTTTACACAGAGGCAAGAAGAAACAAGATTCTTCAGCCCCTGGTGTGAGCAGTTTCCCCATCCCGCTTCTTTTGTTAGCAGGCTCACCCGTCCGAACACGCGACCAGCTTTGCTGCGGATCAGTTCCAGACTATCGGGGTTCTTCTTCTGAGGCATCAGGCTGCTGCCAGTGCTGAAAGAAAGGTGTGTGGAGTGTAGCGCTGAGCAGCACACCAGTCCCTACAGACACAGGTCGTGCAGCGTACTGGCCCAGCCCTCCCCAGTCCCCCTTCCCCAGACACCTCTCTATGCTGTAGGAAAGCACTGAACTGAGTTTCTCATGTTTCCCACAGCAAAGCCTTTGGTTTTGCAGTCTTGTCTGGAGCTACCATGCAGTCCCACCTCTCAAAGGGGAATCAAAAAGGAGGCTTCCCCTGAGGCCGCTCCATAGGTGCTATCAGCAGCCCAGGCTGAGCGTTGCCATGGCCTCAGGGAGGGAGGGCTGTGGCTGTGCCACCCTGAGAGACAAGGAATCTATTGGGATTGCAAGCCTGGCTAGTCAAGGAAGGGCTTTGGCAGGCATTCCCAGCGGAGGAGGGGCATGTTCTCTCTGACAGCAGTTGCTGGGGAGGAGTGTCTGCTGAATGGTCCGAATCACCAGAATCGGAAATAAGTGGTCATTACTGAGGAATGTTCACCCTAAGGTTGCCTTTCTGCCAGCCTTTTAATGCTGTGTCAGCCTTGTGCAGCAGGAGATCCCCAACTACTCTCTCATTTTCCCAGGTGAGGATAGCTGAGGAGAATTACTTCCCAGAGACCAGAAACCTACCAGTAGGTATCAGAGAGGGTTAGAAAGCCAAACTCGCTGGTACTGTAGATGATGAGGTCTTCTGCCATCTTGCTAAGGTGGATCATCAGCAGGGTGGCCACAGAGAGAAATTCCACTGCAGAGAAAGCAGGAAAATCAGGTGAAAAAGGTGCTTGTTTGCTTGACAGCCCAGGGAGACCTGACTGGAGATTTAGTCTCTAGTGAGGGATTTCAATCCCTTATTAAAGGAGGTCAACTGGAAAGGACTTGGAAGCCTGCTTCTAAAATAGTGTTGGGAAGAAGCGATCAAGTTGTGCTTACCCACAAAGTCTCTCTCGCTAACGGCATCCATGCTGTTCAGGCTGATGGAAGCAAAGTCCAGCTCTGTAAGGAAGGTGACAGACAGAGGTGGTCAGGCTTGGCATGACTGGAGCTTGAATGCAGCAGGTTGCCCCAGCATGCAGGTGACTGTGAGCCCTTGAGTGGTCCCAGGAACACAAACATGCTTAAGTGTTGTACTGACTGGGGTCTTTGTTATTTCGCCCCGGGCAGCCAGTGTGCAGGTGAGGCGGCTCTTCTTGAACCAACCTCGCAGGCATTGCCTGTCTCATCGCAGTAGAAAGCCTTATGAAAGAAAGGCTTTGGCTCCAGGACAGTGCATTACAGCGCCATTGGGAGCCATGTATCAATGCTTCCCTCCCTCCTAGATCTTACAAGCAGTCCCGTGCTACTCAATCATAGGGAGACATTTACCACTACGCAGAAGCTCTCTATCAATTTCCAGTGGGTTGCCAGCCAGAGCACCACTGCCAAGGGAGAAAGAAACAGAAGTCATGCAAGATACCCTGCATATCCCAACCAAAACTGAGCTCTAGGAAGCAGGGAAGGCACCTCTGAAGACTTTGCAGAGAAAGCAAGACCCAGTGATTACACAAATAGTATATTTTACCTTCCCAAAGGCAAGACATTGATCCTCTTCTTCATCTCTCCCAGGCGCTCAGAATCGCGGGTCAGAGCAACAGCATGGCTAGGAGAGGACAAGAGAGATGAAGCACGTGAAGCCAGAAAATGTCACTTTTCTTCCCAAGCAATATGCTGCCATGCTTGGAGCCTGGGATCCCATCTCGAACAGAAGAGACTTGAAATGGAGCCTAGGTACTAAGGCCCTTTGAAGTGGAAGAACTAGCAGCCACGCAAGATTCTCCATGTTACCCCATTAGCTAAGGTTTAACTGCCCAAAGGATGGAGCATACAGGGAGTCAGCCTCCACTGCCCACCCTGGTTGATCAAAGCCATGCAGGAACACGGGGAGCTCCTGTTCCCGTATGCAAGGTGAGCTCTGGCTTGTCAGAACCCCAGGCTGCCCCCTCAGAGGGGGACGCGCTTCTGGGCTCTAGCTGAGCCTGGACCCAAGGGTGGAGAAGGCTTCCTCCAGCCAAAGGTGAAGGGTGGTTACCTGAGCAAGAACTGGCTCCATCTGATGGGCTGAGCTTTCTGCAGGTGGGTGTAGCCAGGCAAGATAACATCAATTTCTCTGTATGTGAAAGGAGAGAAAGAAGTGAGTGGCAGCTTTCAGGACAGAGGGCAGTGGCAGGTACACCCCAGGGGTTCTAGCAAGGTCACAAAGAGAACATCTTTAGCCTGTGCTGTGCTGAAGCTGGTCCCTCTCTCCCTCTCCTGTCACTGGCTCCCTAAGCTCACGGGGTTTAGATCTCCTCATCTTCTGGTGAGCTGTGTCTGCCCTAGGCCTCCCTGGAAGATTGCCCGGTACAGTGACCCCTCTGTGTCAGGCAAAGATTCCCCAGTCCACCACTGGAGAGTTAGACAGGAGTTAACAGAGCTGAGCTTTTCTCATATGTAGCAACTTGAAACATGTTAAAATTCCTGAGTCCTTTGGATGGATTTGGTGCCTTCTAAAGCCTTGTGTGGACCTCCCACCTCAATTCCTTTGCCAGCATACACTGGAGGAAGAGGAAGGTCCCTGTGATGTGAACTGTGGCTGTGGATATGGAAAAGGACTTACATGGCAGCGCGTTCCACCAGGGTCTTAATGAGCTGCAGGAGGTGAGTGGAGATGATGGAGAGGGAATTCTTCATGAACAGCTTCAAGTCAGTCACAACCTGGAGGAGACCAGCCAGACAGAGCACAATGTGACATATTTAGTGACTGGCCACTTTTACTGCAAAGTAAACCCCTCTTTGTTCTGTGTGATGGGAAGGTGCATCTTCCTCTCATCACTTGGTCATTTTGATGTGGTAACGTCACTATATCTTGCTCTCCAGGAAGAGAGCCTAAGGCACTTCTGGTCCAAGGTCTCCTGAAGTGAGGTGGGGGAGGAGTACGAAGGGAAAAAAACAACCAGTTCTGTACATGCCTGATC